TCTATCTATCTATCTATCTATCTATCTATCTATCTATCTATCTATCATCTATCATCTATCATCTATCATCTATCTATCTCAATATCTATCATCTATCTATCATCTATCTTGTTTATATTTATCATCGGTAAAACACCCTTCTTTCCAGTATTTCTGCAGGTCTGGCCCTGATTGCTCAGCCATCAATTCTGAGTTTTGTGGCCCATTTTGTCAGTACAGTCCTTATTGACCCAGGCAATGACTGAGCCAGATTGGATTTCTGTAATTTAGATCTGACTATATTTCTATGGGAGAAACACTCTTTATTTGATTCCTCTGGTGAGACTGTCCAATATGGTTGAACCTCTGATATACTTGTCATCTTCTTCAGAACACCCAACCCCATAACAATGTTAAGGTAGTGCCTCACTGGGAGATTCTTACTCTTATTTTATCGTCTTTTAGTGTGTCTTGTTTTTCTGAAATAAATATCTATAATTAAAAGTAAGAAGTCATGTGAAGATAGGATGCTATGTTTTCCCTATATATTTTTCCTAGATAGCAGTCTAATTATTTATCTCAGATAACCTGAGTTCAAAAAGCAATTGATAATTTGTCAGGATAATGTTTTAAAGGAAAGTGTCAAGTGAATTTCCTTGTTTGCCTTCTTCTGGACGTGTGTACACTGTTTTGTCTCTAGCAAATACCTATGCTCCTGAAAATATCCATGTTCAAATGTCTCTTAAAGCCTGTTCTACCAAACTTATATCACATCCTAAAAATAGCTCAGCCAAAGCATTGTTGCAAAAACCATTATAAAGATGCACTTGGAAATTTCATGCAACTGTTTTGGATCAACAGTTTGAGCTTGCAAATAAGCATATGTGTTTACAGATGATCTAGTCTTTCACTAGACTAGCTCACCAAAAGCTTCTGCTGAATGTTTACTTTAATGAGATGATCATTTTGAGTTTGTACTTGAAATTTTTCTGTAAAAGTTTATTTTTTCATATTCCTTAAATGGCCAATTGGAATTTAAGCCAAGAAAATTTGATTCAAAGCCAGAATGAACAGTAGTTCAATCAGCTAACTTAATTAGACACTTTTAGTTTTTTTGACACTTTTTTTTCACCTACAATGAGACAGGCCCAAAATGCCTCGGTAATTTTCCTACTCATACAATAATCAGTTAGCAATATTGAATATCTTATCTAAATTAGCTATAGAATTAGGTTCTTTTTTCCAGATCTTTTTAGATAATAGTTTAATGGCATGGTCTTTACTGTTTGTAAATGTTTCTGCTCATAGCACACATGTTTTACCGTGCAAAGCACATTATTAAAAAGGATAATTTAAAAGATATTTTGCAATAAATAGGAATAAAAGTTAAAATGAAAGTACTAGAACAAGGATAATGCTGATGCAGCTCATGTTTTATTGAATACACAGTCATACATTTGTCATACACATTAATCATTCAGTAAAAATAGTTGGGCATTCTGTATTAAGAGTTGAAAATAGTAAAGCAAAAGAAGAGTTCAACCTTATTTTCTTTAATCAATGTTACATTAGCAAGGAAATCACATGTGTATTATACTGCTTGGTTTGTAACCTCTGGAAGAAAATGGTGTCACTTTCCAGAATGTTCCTAAAAAGTTGCAAGGAATATATTTAATCTTGAACATTAACTATGGATAGTTATAAATATATCTTAATATACTATTCATTAGATTGATTCCCACATTTAAGAAAATTATTTTGCTTGCATGTTTGCAACACTGATATAGCAGATGTGCATCTAATATAACATGAAATTATTGAGAAATAAAGATTAGCATAATTAAACATTTTGGCTAATGTGCTCAGCTTTCATTATGGCTATTTTTAACAGAAAGATATCAGTTGTACTGAATGTTAAGGCACATTAGGAAGTTCTCTGCACACCTAGAGGACCCTAGAATAAGGAACAATATCTTAAGAGCTTGAACTTGACAAAGCTTTTAATCTGACAGTTCCTTTCTAGGATCTTGAATTGCTGAATTTCTTCAGAATCAGTTTTACAGGAAGCATTAGAGGACAGAAAAATGGGAAGAAGAATGTCTCAAACAACTGGCAGGAGTAATGTAGAGCAATGTTAGGTATGTTAAAGAAGGCCTATTGAGACTAATCACAGAACATCTTGATTTGAGAATAAAAGAAATTAATCAGGGATATTAAGTGATACAGATGAAATTCAAAAACAGAGGCTGAAATATAAAGGTAGAATGTTAATAGGAGCCATCCAGACAATTGGAACAACTTGGGAGTTTTTAGCTGATTACATCTCTAGCTTAGTTACATCAGCACACAAGTATACATTTAATTATTTGTGGGATTTTTAATGCTAAAATCAGCCCATGCTTGGAACTATTGAACTTAAAGGATAATTTTTTAAAAAAAAATGGATGTCATTTTTCTTTTGGGCCATTTGTCCCATGATAAGATCCAGAATAATAGAAGTACTTAAATTAATGTACAAATTACAAATGTCAGTTTACATGAATGACAAAGGGGGTGGGTTCTTACACATCAATCAGCCACAGAGATAAAGTTGTTGTTGATTATATATTCACATATAATTCACTCATTAGTGTAGTGTTTACTACCAATTTGTGTAATGTTTAGTATTATAGATAGACTAGAGAGTGATAAATTATCATTTGTCTGAGACTTATGTGTATATGTGGAAATAATGTAGAACAAGAGAGTCATAATATAGAAAGCATAACAGAGAATCAGAAACAATCAAAGTGGACATTCCCCTTGGCAGAAGCCGAAAGATCAATGCTGTACAGTCCAACATGCTACAGCAGATGGTTACACTTATTCAAAAACCAGAAATTGCAAATATCATTTATGAGGATGTGGTTGGTAATCTTAAACCTGTAGTGTGTAAACCATGGCAAGGGAAAATGCTGAAACCAGAATCTCGTGGTTTAACCACAAATGTAGATGTAAAGAAAAAAGGAACTGGCTAGACTATTAAGACAAATGAAAAAAGATAAATCATTTGACAGGGTACAGATGAACTCTGAAAATATAAAGCACTAAAAAGTAGGAACAAATAAGATTACTATAAAAGCTAGTGGTGAGAATTAAGACTGTCATGTTTACAAAATAATGCTATAAAATTTTATGAACTAGTTTCCCAAGGCCAGAGAAAAATAAATGTAGAAATAGAAACACATATTTCACCTGAGGTTTCGATAGCTTATTTTAAAAAGAAATTTGAGGATATTAGAAGAATAGTTAATGGGTACAATTTATTAAAATTATCATAAAAATGTCCACAAGTAACTGCTACAGAAATTAAGAGAATAATTTCACAACAGACAATTGGCAAAGGCCCAGGAGAGTGTATGTTATCACCAAAAATGTTTAAGGCAATCCCTGATTGATGGGCTCCTATACATATTTACTTCGGTATTTATATCAATGTTACTGGGAAAAACAGTGCAGTAATTCCACTTTAAAAAGGAAGATTTTACAAACCCTGCTAACTTTCACCCCCAAAGTCTCCTTGAAATAGGGTGTAAGCAATATATAACATACATTTTAAACAGATTTATTTGGAAGATACAAGGCAAATTAGAACAGAAGAAGAGGCAGGCTTCAGAAAGGTCCATATATTACTATATAGTGGCATGATACATATATTGACAACATTGATTGGAATGAGAAGAATCCTGGCAGAATTTCAAAGTTACTTTAGGAAAGAATACCTAACAGATAAATTATTCTAAAACCAACGTAGTCGTGTTTATTAAAAAGATTAAAGAGACATAGATCTCTAGATGATAAGGAGATGGAACAACTGAGGTCATTAAAGTATTTGGGTATCCAGTTTACTGAAACATTATCATGGAAAATGTAGCATCAACAAGAACAATGGCCATAAGATCAATGAGAGTACAGAATACAGAATAACAGAGTTGGAAGGGACCTCTGAGGCTTTCTAGTGCAACCCCCAGCTTAAGCAGGAGATCTTATACTATTTTAGACAACTGCTTGTTCAGTCCCTTTTTTAAAGCTTCCAAATTTTTGATTTTAGTAAACTAGAAGAATTAGAAGTGTTTGAATGTGTTTGAATACTAGTAGTTCGGCTTGGTAGTTAGGTTGTTGGTTTAAACTCTGAGGTTGGCAATTTGGTGCAAACATTTCATCACCATTCAAGGAGAGATTGACATCGTCAATTCAAAATGCACTGATGATGTCTCCTCGAATGGTGATGAAACGTTTGCAACCAAATTGTCAAACTCAAAGTTCAAACCAACAGCCTAATTAGAAGTGTTCCCAATTAAAAGTGTTCCTGAATAAATTAATGATATCAATCTTAGCATGTGTACAGCAGCAATGTTGAGATTAGAAGTGGGCCTTCTATGAATAATGATAAAATAATAATCATAAAGGAGACTACTCCATGCACAACACTTATTTGGCAAAACAATACCTCCACAAACAATTTAACAGTAATAGATGGGTGAATTTGTTTCTAAAAACATTCTCACAATTATCGCTGCATAGTGAACTGCCAAATGACATAAGTTATCATACACTATTGAAGGACTGCACATTTCTTTAAAGATTTTAGACAAGAGGGATTGCTTGAGTTGGCTAAGTGATATCAATTTTTTAAAGCTGCACAAAGAATGTCATATTATTTACAGTCTCTTATAGCTTATGTTTCACATAATTTAGTTTCACAGAATTTTATTTTCAAATAATATAACAGCCTATTGGATGGAAAAGTTGAAGATTTGACATAGTATTATAATGTGTATTATATTAGGAACTGAGACCTAGATTCATTGGACCTTTGTTTATCCAATTGAATCAGTCTAGATTTAGAATAAAAAAAATCTATATTTTGTCTGATGTGGATGAATGTGGAACAAAGCAAGTTGCATTGTTCTCAATTTAATGCTGTTAATATTAGAGGGGATGTATTGAACTGATATGAAAAGTTGCAATTGTCAGTTGTTGCAGAAAATCAAATCCAGAAAGTACACACAGATGACTGATTCAGCAGGATTGATTTAAATTAAAAAAAAACTTCTTTATATACAATACCTTATGCAATTGTCAGAAGCATAATCACAGAAGCACGGTTAACACAAGGACATATTCACAGAAGGAAATGACAGAAGGACAATAATAGGAGCACACAACTTATATTTATACATATTAGTTAACCTAAGCCACACCCGGCTCTGAACTGTTTCAGCTCCCAAACAGCCCTCATTGGCTGACTTAGTTGCTATGCAAATTCATTGGCTGACCTTGTTACCATAGCCTATCCCAGCCAGTCTTCAATGGCTGACCTGTTGCCATGTCTATCCCAGTTCATGAACTATATAGAGCGACAGAAATTTTATTTTATTTTTTCTAAAACCTATGGTTCAAAAGCATGCAAATATGAATAGATAAAATACATACCACTTCAGTGGGAAGGTAACAGAGCTCTGTGATGTCATCCTGGCCACATGACCGCGATAATGTCTTCGGAGTACAATCCACAGGAACTCCTTTTTTTAAATGGTTGCAATTGAATACAAAAATATAGAGACAATTGGACAATTTCATTTGTCTATTATTCCTGGAAAGAACCGAATGCAGGTATTAATCAAAACAATGGCTAAATGGTAAAATATTAGTACCTTCTGAAACACCTGCACTTTCTTTTCTTTCTAAAAGAGGGAACTCATTTGCATTGATCAGTGGTGGGCCTTCTGAGAAGCTACTTTGTGGAGGGCTTATCCAAAATTGTTTGCCTTGAATTGGGTCCATTTCAAAAGAGGGAATGTTATGTTTGGCTCTCCACTTTTCTAAGCATCTTCTCATGATTTCTAAACAGACAAATAATAGCAAGTTAAAGATCTTTAAAAGAATTATTTAGTTATTGCTGGAAACTGCATGTAAAAGATTTAAATAATGATTATGACAATTTCTAGTGATCTTGATTCCGTGTTATTCAGATAAATGACTACATGTAGCCAAAATGTAACTCTGTGATAAAAGAAAAATGGCAGTAGAAAACTTAATAACAGCTAATGGTATCTAATCATCTTTGCATAATAACTTGTCAATAGCACTTGTCAGTGCTATTATCTATCTGCAATTCTGATCTTCTAGCACTGAGACATGTTTCATTGCCAATATTTTCTCAAGAATAAATTGTTCTTTTGATTTTAAAATAAATTGTTACTATATATTATATTTCAGCACAGTCATCACCCTCGCCTTACTGGTAGTATTAAAACTGTAGAATTGCAAGCCAGAAGAATGTATTGATCTTTAATTTCTTCATTGCACTTCTCTGATAGTTATGACACCTTAATTGATGAATTTCTATGCCATAACAATAGCAAAGAAACAGTAGCAAAATATAGTCAGAAATAAATCATTTTTGATTTTATTAATGCTTACTCTTAGTTAAGAGTAAGTTTTCATCCTAAGCATGTAAGACCAGAAGTCTATGGAGATTTTCCATCATCCAAGTCATGGTTGTCCCAAAGATGCTTTTTTTAAAGAACACTTGGACTTTCTGATTTTTCTTTGAAGACATTTTATTTCTCATCTAAGAAGCTTCTTCAGCTCTGACTGGATAGTGCGGAATGGAAGGATTTAAACTCCTTGCAGACAGCTGGTTTGCAAAGAATGCAAATGGCCAGCTGTCTGCAAGGAAGATAAATTCTTCCATTTCCCACCATCCAGTCAGAGCTGAAGAAGCCTCTTGGATGAGACATTTGGGGTAGGTGGGGGATAAGAACAAGGAATGATGCTCTCAGATTTTCTGAGGTAATGGAGTCCATTCTGGTGGATTGTGTTATTTTGTTTTTATATCCATACAAGTCAGTCACTGTGCCTCAGCCCTGGGAAGCAGAAAAGGGCAAACCATTTCTGAAATCTTGCCAAAGAAACACCACCTTGCCAGGAACTTGTCCAGTGAGTTGCCAGGAGTCAACGTTGACTTGAAGGGATAAAAATGAAAAAAATGAAATGATTTTATAGTAGTAGAATATGCTAGTTCTTACTACTAGCCTGCCTAGTAGTCATTCACAGTTTCATTAGTTTGGATATATGCTGTAGTTATTACCAGGTTTAAACAAATTTTCAAGAAAGGTGCAATATGTGGGAATACAAATAACCACCTCTCTGTTCAGTTAAGCAGCCACATATTTTTCAAACATGCTGTTTCCAAAGCAACTCCAGTTGGGCTCTCCACACATGAAATATGTTTAATCAGACAGCTTTGTGGATATATATGTATGAATTAGATACATGATAGGAAGGAAGGAGGGAGGGAGGGAGGGAAGGAAGGAAGGAAGATAAGTGATATACCCTTTGCATGTATACATAAATAAAGTCAGCATATTCATTCATAGAAGTGCTCAAGCTTGAATGCAGATATGTTCAGACATATACAAAGAAATAATGCATGTTGCTTTGATAAAACTGTACTAAGTAACTATAGAACATAACTTACTGTATGCCACCTAAATGTTAATGCTATATCTACAATAATACTTGTGATTGCCAAGGCAGGTTTTAAAAAAGCAAACTGAGACAAATGTTCCAGTCAGAAGAGTGTTAAAAATTGTCTGACTCTCAAAAGAGTGCTTACTGTATATGTAAACAACTGTCTTTTCTTGCAGAAATGTGCATCCTTTATTTCTTGTCCTCACCCTTCTCAGTCTTGTTCCTTAATCTTATTTGGCTATTTTCCATAATTATGCTTTGTTTTAAGAATATTTTACACAATCAAGAACATGCTTTAAAAAGAGGCTTGGTGATTTCATTGTAAAGTGGTATGGATTTTTTTGTTTTGTTTTTTGTTCTAGGCAACATTTTTCTGTGACTGTGACAATGACTACCTGGGTGTTTTCTGTGAGGAATTTAATGCCTGTCAAAACAATCCTTGTCAGAATAATGGAACTTGCATGGATATGGCAGAAAAACATATTGGAAAAAATTTCTCCTGTACTTGTCTTCCTGGTATGTTTTGAATCATGTATCATTTGCACAGTGCCTCCAGTTTGCTCAGGAGAGCAGAGCATCTCTTGATAATGAAGAAATAAGGAAGTTAACAGAACTAGAACTAAGTTTATATGAGGATCGCTGATACAAAAAATGATGTGTGTGTGTGTTTGTGTGTGTGCATGTGCATGTATACATATACATACATACAAATGTGTAAAATCCTGTCAAAGCCTAGCTTCCCAACATTTTCAACCTAGGGGCCAACTCCAGTTAAAAGTAATCTCGGAAACTGATTTAACTTGTACATGTGCACACAACATATTTGAATATAGGTTAAATATATATGTGAGTAACCGGATGGAATGGAGCAAGCACAGATTGAATCCTAGCAAGTCAGTCTCAAAGGTGCCTTTTCAAGTGTTACTGTTCATGCAGAGGCTCCCTGGCACAAGGGAGGCACTTCTACTGAAGAGTACAAGTGATGGGTTCTCAACGCAGATGCTTTGAGTAGCTGGAAGGCTGCTTTCAGGCAATAGATTCCAGCCTCTCCAGAGTGTTTTAACATGTTTCGTTTCAAGTGTTAGAAAAACTGCAAGAAAAACTGTTTGATGGAGCTGCACAAAACCTGGCCTGCAGGGCCAATCGTACGGTTGTGTAAGCTGTCATTGATGTGATGAATGAGACATTACACAAAACATATTTGGGTGTATTGTTCTATATTTTATGTTGATTATGATTATGTTTATTGTGTGTTTAATGACAAGTGTACATTGTTTTCTGCAATTGGGGGTGTCATAGTTAAATTATTATATGACATTGGAATTACTAGAAATAGGAAGCAACAGATACATTCATATCACTGATGCACATTTTATTTAGGAGTTGCAGTTAATGTGACTTGCCTAGTTCCAGAAGCACAGTTTCCTTACAAAGGCTTGGAAATGTGTTACATCTGCATTAGCCTACATAACAGAATGAGATCAGCAGGCAATAAAATGGGGTCAGGTGGTACTGCACAGGTACTGTAAAACAGATGATCTATTCAGCTCATGTCAGTCTCTCCTTTATTCTTTTTAAAGAAAGAGAGGGGGACTTCAGATTTGCCCAGACATAGCAGAATTGAGTTATATAGCAAACTGTGACTTTCAGTGGTACTGAATTTCTGAAGCTCTGGCCAGTATAATTAGTTGGCAGGAATGATGAATGATGAAGTCCAGCTATATACTGAGATTCTCAATTTATATCCCTATATGAATATAATTGAAGAGGCTCCCATGTCTTTTCCCCTATAATACCCCAATTCTTCTGTTCTGTTAGAAGTACTGACTTGCTTTTTTATATATTTGATGAATAAATTGGAATAGATTGATCTACCTAAGTTGAAAGTTATATAGTATAGTACCCTCTCCTTTGTTTATATAACATATTAATTTTTCAAATCTGAATTCTTTTAAGTACTGCAAACAAGATGATACCTTTTAAAGTATTCATAGTTTTTGTATGTAGTATAAATAAAACATTCAGAGGTACTATTATTAAGAAATGGAGAGAAATACACACACACACATTTTAATAATGCCTGAAATTATATTAGCTAGAAAGCCTGTTTGATAAAAAAAAAAAATCCTGCAATTAATTGTAAAGTAGAATTACTTGACTAGCATGTACCGTCAAGATCAAAGCAAGCAAAAAACCATATTCACTTAGCAAAAAGAAGTAACAATTTGGCCAACACATTGTATGAGTCTTAAAAAATGGAAAACTGCTCAGTCCCTGGAAAAGAACTGTTAGCTGTACTGCAAACCTTGTTCTAAAGAAATTACATTTTTAATTGGAATGCTGATGGAACTAGGATTGCTATGAGGCAGGCTGGAATTAGAAATCTGAGTTTAAAAGAAAACAAAGACAACTACTATTCTAAGCAAGGTTTCCAAGCCTGGATCTTTTCATTCTCTGAAAACCTAACCTCATTATATATTAACAAGTATCACTTTTCATCCAGAGTCAGTGTTGAAGCATGTTGTGGATTGTGTTTGACTATTTAAAAGAAAAGTAATATAAATAGAACTAGATTTTAGGGAAAATTAGGCTTGATTTGAAGGTAAAGAACTATGAAAATAAAGTGACAACATATATGTTTGGGAAATTTAATTAGTTGGCATTTTCTGTACCATTGCCATTATTATTCACTGTATATTTTAATTGATTAGGAATAGTACAGGAGTTAGGAAATAGGAAATAGTACAGGAATAGTACAGGATTAGGATTAGGAATTGCACAGACTTTAGTATCAAGGTAAATGCTTCAGTTTAAGATTAAATAATCTACTAACATTGAGTTTTTACTCAATGTTTTGAGTTGTCATTGTCATATGTGAGACAAAATGCATTTCTGAGTAATGCATACTTCAAATATGCACTACATATCATAGTTACCTATTAACTTAGTTTTAATTTGAATGGGAGTGTGGTCAATTCTTTGTGATTACAACTCTTTAATATAGGAACAATGTTTTGGATGCTATTATGCCAATAATACATCTATTAATGCAATATATTTTCTTTCCCATATTTTAAATGATTTTATTATGCTGAAGGATATACTGGGGGAATGTGTCAGTCAGAGATTGACTATTGCATTCAGCAGCCTTGCAAGAATGGAGGGACCTGCTATTCTAGTAGCAGTGGATTCAATTGCCAATGTCCAGAAGGTAAGCAGTAAGTTTCAATAATACTTAAGAAGGTACATATTTTTTCTATAGAACATTTTAAGGGTGCTGTTTTTCCCTTTCCAAGATAAGCAGACACACTGTATGTCAATATATGTGAATACAAACCAGAATCTTCCTATCCAATCATAAGGAATTCTTGCCATCTTACAGATGTCCCAGCGCTTAGTTCATTTGGTAAAAATCTTTATGTCATCTTTTGTGCAGGCATTTCTTCTCCCTGCACAAAAAAAGGTATTCTCTATTACCAAGTGGGAGCATTGGGGGAATTATGACTTCATAATTTCATCTGCAGAGGAAAAAGTGGTTAGGCAGAGGCAAACACAGCACAGCTCATTGTCATCATGTAGCTGTGGGAAACTCTTGGGAACTAATTTGGCCTCTGATAAATAAAAGTATCCGACCCTAAAGTATATGTGGACATACATGCATGTCTTTAATGTGTTGCTATGTAAGCAGTTATTTAGGTAGTGTGCTGCAATGAATAATAATGTGTGAGTATTCTCATAGCTGAAAGGGAGTGTGTAAGCATACCTATTAAAATTCTTCTGTTGACTTTTGTTTATAGAGTTATCAGTGTTTCAGATAATAACATTGTGTATTGATTTTTGTTGTAGCTTGCATCTGGTTTGAAATGCTTTTTATATAAATCGATTTACTCTCAAATATAGATATATCTACTAAATAACGATCTTGTATTAAGATCCTGTAGCCTTAGAAGTCTGGAAGTTGAAGTCCAGCCTATCTAATGAGGTCTACGGTAGTTAGGAAAAGCTGCTGAATGCTGACAATTAAAGTGTATTTGCAATAGCTTACTATAAATGCTAGTTTTCTACCTGTCTTTGAGACTGAACCTCATAGAGCCGAGGTGGTGCAGTGGTTAAATGCAGCACTACAGGCTACTTCAGCTGACTGCAGTTCTGCAGTTCGGCTGTTCAAATCTCACCGGCTCAGGGTTGACTCAGCCTTCCATCCTTCCGAGGTGGGTAAAATGAGGACCTGGATTGTTGTTGGGGGCAATATGCTGACTCTGTAAACCGCTTAGAGAGGGCTGAAAGCCCTATGAAGCGGTATATAAGTCTAACTGCTATTGCTATTATACTATAATCAGTGACCCGTTTGCTGACTATGCTACAACCCAGTAATTTAAATAGAGAATTTTAGATATTTTTTGGCTCTTCCCAACAGATATATAAACAGCAACAATAAATAGTGAGGCAGATACTAAAACTTAGCCTAAACTAAATGGCTTTCTTAAAGTATCCTATCAAAGTCTGTGTCTAAATTATATCAAAAGAAGGATGGATGACTTCTCATAGTGAGTTGGGATTTTTATGCTAGATTTTATAGGACACCTTTGCTGTTGTTTGTAGCCTCATAATGGACCACAATATTTTCAGATTATTTTCTCTGGACTTAGCAGTGGTGGGTTATGACCGGTACGCCCTGGTACAGGCGTACTGGTGCCTGCCGGGAGCACCAGGTACAGTTCCGGTACAGTGCTTTGGAGGGCCCACCCGCCTGCCTGTGCTCCTTACCAATATTTGAAGGTTTTTGGGCTTCCATGCAGGCTCACGGAGCGCACAGTGCCTGTGCAATGCTCCTGCAAGCAGCTAGAGTGTCGTGGGTAGTAAGTACACATATGTGTGCTGCACGCCTTCATGTGGTGGGTGCCCATCCCCATTGCACCGTACCGGTTGCAATGGTATCTGGAACCCACCACTGGTACTTAGCCAAAATTGAGGTAGATGACTGATATGCAAAATATATATATAAAGTTGTGCATTTTATTCATTTATTTATTTATGTTGTTTGTAGCTTGCCCATTTCCATGGATTCTAAGCAGCTTACAATGTAAACATATTTCAGGGGACCCCCAATACTTGCAATATAATCATATATAAAAAGAGTAAATATACATCAACAGAAACTTCAGGGAGTTAGAAATACCATTGACTAACATACAACAAACAAGAAAGGAAGACATCTTCCCTAAAACAAAACTTTCTTGCATGTATTTGCACTTGAAGATCTTCATGTAAATGTCAGTTAAAATATTCGAGAATTGCATTTGTTGCCAGTTATTTGTTGTACCAGAATGGAATGCCTAGTTAGTAGATTACTTGACAACTAGTAGTCATCTCCACAGTCATTACGAAGTGAATGTTATGAAAGTAACTTCTTCACTGATCAGACTAATCAGGCTCTTCTTTTCTTCTTCTTTTAATCAAGATATATGGGTCAAACATAGTACTTTCCTTCTCCACTAGTATGCATTTTAGATCTTCCGACTCTTTCATCCACTCTATCTTTCACTTTCAGATCTAAGCTTGGTTGTGCGTGGGCAGAGTGAGATTAAAAATACAGACACAGGCAGTATGGCTGGGAAATTGGAAAGCCTAGGGTGTTAAGTTGCACAAACTGTTATTTTTAAATTGCCATGAAATTTTCCTCTGTGGATGTTTTTGCTATGATACTTTTCCCTTCTGAGATTTGTTGTAACAGCAAACTGTGAAGAAGCTGGGCATTCTGTAGTACAAATTTGAACCATCTTCAAAAAGTTAGCGTGCTATCTGGTGTATGCATGAATCTATCTCTATCTCTATCTCTATCTCTATCTCTATCTCTATCTCTATCTCTATCTCTATCTCTATCTCTATCTC